ATATCCCAGACTAATGGTAAAAGGAGGTGGTGGGATATCCCAGACTAATGGTAAAAGGAGATGGTGGGATATCCCAGACTAATGGTAAAAGTAGGTGGTGGGATATCCCAGACTAATGGTAAAAGGAGGTGGTGGGATATCCCAGACTAATGGTAAAAGAAGGTGGTAGGATATCCCAGACTAGTACATCTTAAAGGAATTGATAATTTTTAAAAATTTTCTCTCAAATTATTGTAATTGAATTAGATCTACATAAGCATGAAAAGTTTAAACCTGTGAGGTTCACATTGGCACAAGGTCAAATTCAGTTTGACTGATCTTGAACTGTGACCTAGTACATTACTAACACTTGTATTGAAACTACCATATTTGCTCTATTAGAAGTGCATGTGCTTAAATCAATGATACAAGAGTGCTTATAATATTGAAATTATACATCATATTCATTTTGTCTGCTTTTTAATCATTTGATTCACAAATAACAAATATTTTTGATGAGAAAATGATATTATAAAATGTTCAGCCAACAACGAAAAACCATGGTTACATTTCAATGGAACCAAGATAAGTAACAACACGTACTTGTGCTTCCATTAGAGATGTGATTGTAATAGAGCAAAGATAGTATCCATTAATTGTAAGTAGAGGGTAAATAGTAACATCATTTGACCAATTTACAAAATGAACCTGGGCTACCACAAGGTCACACAAAAAAAACAGAAATTACTTACTTGGATTGTCAGGGTTACACAGAATTAAAAGAAGATTATTCTCTGAAATTACCTTTAAATTAAATTAAAACAAAAAAGTATGAACAATTATTTGATTTTGATTACAATATTATCATAATTTTTTGGGTAAATTATGAAATTCTGGACCATACAATTTAGTACACGAGTATAGTTAGACTAGATTTCATCTATCTTCAGTGACAATATTCATTTCTATCAAGGACTTGTATATGGTCCGCATTACAGTACTATTTGTTTTAGTTATTTCTTAATATTCTTTGTTAACTTTGAAGCAAAAGTGGATACAAAGTTATAACAATCCAAATTATTTTAACTACTGCAAACTGCAGTGATTTCTTATTCTCAGTCTACCATGGAAACAGCCCATGGTTTAGTTTTAATCATGTTTAGTCATAACTATTAAATTAACAAAATTCTCCATATTTGATCAGTCATAAAAATCAATATATGGAACTATATGTTACTATAATACTGTACTGTATGATAATACTCCTGGAACTACAGCTGACGATAATATAATAATTCTAATAATAATAATAATAATAATAATAATAAATTAAATGCATCCTTAGATTGATTGACAAAAAAATAAAATATACAAGAAGCTATTTATAGCTGTATACCATACTAAACTATGTGCTATACCTTTTCAATATTTTCTGGTGTAACTCTCCAATCATCATTCTCTGTTGTTTGAATAACTACAGCCTTATGGTGGGCTAGCTGTGACTGGGGTTTGTAGGTTGTCCAAGTCGGAGACAGAACTAGAACATCTGAAAGTTTGGAACAAAATATATTTCATATTAGTCTATATGTTCACTGAGAACACGAGTCGTGTCAATTGTTTGTACTTTTTATCTAGAGATACCGAGTCAAAATTACATTTGTGGTATCGAATGAATAAACTAAGCCTAAATGGCAATAAATATGTGAAAAGTATTATATTCATATACACCGATGAAATTGGACATCTGAGGTACAGGTTGTAATGTATACTTATACTCATGTTATATATTTGTGAGACGCCCCTTACTTGTAGGTCATTGGAGATGACCCCTAACACGTGATGTAAGCTATTTCTCTGGTATGACGACATTCTTATAATGCCGGCCTGTATGAAACATCGTGTGAATGAATAAAAGCTATTTCTGCCTCACTGGTTGGACTGGTGTGAATACATTACACAGGTCATGAATGTCAATATTACAATTTTTGCATAATAGGCATTTGAAATAGACTGGTAATAGCTACTCAAGACAGATCCCTTATTAAACTTCAGCTAATTCTCATAGTTATAAAATCACCTCCATCTCCTTTCTATTGCAAATCAGTAACCTAGCAACAAACTTAAAACTCATTTATCAGCACTACAATTTGTCACATTTAAATTGATTGGACATATTCAAATTTACACAGGTGTTTTATTTTAAATAATTTTGACACCGCAAATATTTAAATGCATAAATCATGATGGTAAAAAGGGGGGGAAAAAATATTACTGACATGGTTTTTATGAAAATATAATTTAAATATACCAGTAAGTAAAATATGCATACAATGCTCAGCGTCTTGTGGAAAAAGGTATTTTTACAATATGGTTTGATTTTGTTCAAAATTCCAAATAAATTAATTAAACTACTATTCCAACAAAAATTGGTGATCCATTTACCATTGGTTCCTATGGTAACAAGGTCTTATCATGCTGCAATTTGATAACATTGTAACAAAATCATTGTCACAATTATTAGAAAATGTTACTAATTATTATTTCGAAAATGTGAATGTGTAATCACTCATTACCTCCATTGAACACAGCAAGTAGAAGGTATATCAGTTCCTTACTACCAGGTGCTATAATCACATTATCTGGCTTAAGGTGGGTCAGTCCATCCAATTTACGATGAAATTCACAGATCTTGGACCTCAGCTCTGGCAAACCTGAAAAATGTTATGAATAATATTTAGATATTTCATATATAAAATATTTTAAATGTATAAAACAAAGCTCAATAAAAGTGCCAAAACCAATATGATACATGTATGTACATCAAAATTGAGTGGAAACAAATAATATTTTTACAATGCACCCATATTGAATGCAGCACAATAATCATGTCTCTTAACCAGCAATCATAAGAGAACATCTTGCTTTGTTTCTAGGTTTAATAACACAATAATCTTCAGAACATTATGTTAAATACATCAGTGGATGGAATTACATCTATTCAGTTCATAAATTGTAACAGCCGTGCCTACTTAACTTAGTCTCAGATAGTGCTCTATAAATAGTGTATCACAAAAGTTGCCCTTTTCACCTAAAAAGTTAAATATCTACTAAATTATGAAAAGAAACATACCGGTACTAACCAAAAACAATTTGATTAAAAACTTAAACAAATCATAACCCTCTAAGTACATATATAATAATCTGAATTCACTATGTACTCAGGTCCAAACAGCAGACTCCATGGTAGTTTTTAGTTCTACACTCTATATTTTGTCTAAAATGAAGAGGTTCTTAATTCTATATTATGACACTTGAAAAAGGGTTACATGTGCTTACATAAATTTCTTGTTGATCATATGTGCTATTATACTTTGTTTATGTTATATTTTCAACAACTACCTTGAACTGGCAGATATGCATTCTCATTTGCATGTTGTTGTAACTTTTTCACAGCTCCATCAAGTATCGGGAATGGCGACTGCCCAAATCCAAGATGATACACCTTCTGTCCATCTGCAATTAAGCGTTTCACTTTCTCATTAAATGCCAGGTTTGAAGCAGGGCAGTAGTCTTTCAGATGAGGTTGAATTAGGTCAGTAAATGTAGATTGCCTTGTTTCATTTTCCATAGCGACTTCCTTAGTGTTTTCCATCTTATTGGCAGCTGTTTCCATCTTCACTGAAATCAATCAATAAATAAACTCATCCATAAAAACAATCTTGCACAGGAATGTGGAAATAATGGCAACAGAGCTAATTTCAATCACAAGTTGAATTTTTATTCATTCTGACAATCGTGATTCGTTTGAGTTTATAGGATTCAATAAATTAATATTAAGTTCTCTATTTGCTGAAATATACAAAAAAAAAACACAAGGTATTCTTGGAAGTGGCAAACTAAAATGTGTGTGGGTGCATTTTCAAACAACAATGAAATGCAATACTGCAGGGTGGGTTGCTTATTCATTCATATTAACATTTCAACAATTGGGTCAAGCAAAGAAATTGTGCCTGCCATGTACTCTGTACAATGTTTAATTATAGTCACGTCTTTTGTTTTTTGTAAAGAATGGCAATTGAACATCCTGAGCCAGGGAATATAATATACTGAGAAATCATCTACGTGACAGGTTAGTCAACTATAAACCGACCTCAATAGTATTACGACAACTGCGTGATTCATGGGTATTTGGCATGGCTGGCGCAATAACGCGTTTGTATTGCTGTATGCTATATTTATGCACCTATCAATCTTATTCAGGGGGAGATTGCAGCTTGGGGAAAGCAGAGGATTTTTACTCAACATACTAGCCCCAGACTTGGGAGT